ACGCGTGGGTAGGAGGAGCTGGGGGAGCACTAGGTGCATCCCCATCGGTGGCTGGATCATCGTCACCAGCGCCGACCACATCATCAGCTCCGCGCGCTCGCCGTCACCAAATTCGGGGGAGCCCGGAAGCGCAACGGTAGCAGCAGGCACTCCACCAGCGCCCTAGCTGTCCACACAACTGGCGTCCCCGGCTACTGCATCCCCTACCTCGCCTAGTGCGACACTACCGCACGACGATCAGGCTCCAATCGAGTACGCCACACCACTGGAGGTATATGTGCATAAGCCATCAGGCTTTCGTTGCCGGAGAGGAAGACGAGGTGTACCACCTACGCAAGGCCCTCTACGGTCTGTGGCAGGCTCTGCGCGCCTGGAATGCGAAGCTGGACACCACGCTCAAGGAGATGGGCTTCCAGCAGAGCGCGCATGAGGCAGCGGTGAACCGGCGGGGCAGTGGGCGCACTATCCTGCTCGTCGGCGTCTACGTCGACGACCTCATCATCACCGGCGCTAAAGAATAAGTGGAGAAGTTCAAGGCGCAGATGAAGGAGACGTTCGACATGAGCGACCTCGGCCTCCTCTGCTTCTACCTCGGCGTCGAGGTGCGCCAGCATGCCAGCGGCATCACCCTCTGTCAAACCCACTACGCCAAGCGCATCCTTGAGCTCGGCGGCATGGCTGGCTGCAACCCAGCGCACACCCCGATGGAGGAGAAGCTCAGGCTCAACCGTCACGGCACGGTGGAGGAGGTGGACTCCACACACTACCGGCGGCTCGTCGGCAGCCTCCGCTACCTGGTGCACACCCGGCCGGACTTGGCGTTCGCGGTCAGGTTCGTGAGCCGGTTCATGGAGCGGCCCACGGTGGAGCACCTACAGGCCGTGAAGCGTATACTCCGGTACGTGGCCGGCACCCTCGACTATGGCCTGCATGACGCAAGGGCCTCGGCACGGCGCGCTTCGTTGGCTACTGTGACAGTGACCTCACCGGTGACATCGACACAAGCAAGAGCATGAGCGGAACCATGTTCTTCCTTGGCGATTGCTTGGTCAGCTGGCAATCCCTCAAGCAGAAGGTGGTGGCGCTATCAAGCTGTGAAGCCGAGTATATTGCCACCACCACTGCAGCAACACAAGCTCTGTGGCTGTCAAGGTTGCTGGGAGAGCTCCTTGGCAGAAAGGTCGATGTGGTGGAGCTGAAGGTGAACAACAAGTCTGCTCTAGCTCTGGCCAAGAATCCAGTCTTCCATGACAGAAGCAAGCACACCCGAATCAAGTACCACTTCATCAGGGATTGCTTGGAAGAAGGAAGCATCAAGGCCAACTACATTGCCACTACTGATCAGCTGGCAGACATCCTCACCAAGTCGCTTGGCAAGTCCAAGTTCCAAGAGATGAGGCAGAGGATTGAGCTGAGGCAGATTGTCTCCAAGACTTAGCACAAGGCTTAGGTGGAGATTGATAGTTAAGCCTAGTGCTTGTATCTTATTTTTCCTATCATTTACCTTTGGCTGCTAATAGCCTAGTATTAGGAATATGCTCAGCACCCACTTTAGTGGTTAGGAAAGTGCTGGAGCTGGTGAGGGGGAGAGGATCCATCTTCTCTATAAAAGCAGTGGCATAGACCACTTTGTATTCAGCTATTGCATTACAATTCAATCAAGGGCCTAGGGCCAAGCTGTCTTCTAGCCTTACCCAAATCTAAGATCCATTTGTGTTCACCTAGCCAACAAAGGCGGCCTAGGATTGGGAGGATCCGGGCACAGGGGAAGCTGGTGGCGTCAGAGGCACCTTTGTTGGCGAGCACTTGGTCATCCATGGTGATGGGGACGCAGGAGTGGAGCTGGCTACGGATGTGGCAAGTCCAGTGGCAGTGGCGGTTCCAGACGGGCCACCAAGTCCGGTCATGCCAGGCGCGAGCTAGCAGACTCCTCCGTCGGCAGCGCAGACGCCTCCACCACCGTCCACTGCTCTAGCGGGACAAGGGAACACAAGCGCAGACCTCGGTCTAGTTCTTTCTTCGACTAGCGACTTGGACTCGCATGTCGACGCGCACCACCAAGGCGAGGAGGTGCGTTTCCGCACCATGGACAACCTCGTCGGTGGTTGTGCAGCTCCTGGCTTGGCGAGCAGGATGCTCGATGACGAAGAGCTGCTTCTGATGAGCGCCAAGGAGCCACCCACGTTCGCTGAAGCTGAACATCAGAATTGGGGGTATGCCATGCTCGAGGAGATGAACACGATCGAAGACAATGGGACTTGGGAGCTTGTGGATTCGCCTCTCGGGTGTCGGCCAATTGGGCTCAAATGCGTGTACAAGGTGAAGCAGGACGAGCGCGGCGCCATTGCCAAGCACAAGGCGGCGCTGCTCGTTGTCAGGGGCTTCGTCCAACGCGAAGGAGTTGACTTTGAGGAAGTCTTCGCGCCGGTGGCACGGATGGAGTCCGTTCACCTGCTGCTGGCGCTGACGGCAGCGAAGGACTGGCGCGTCCATCACATGGAAGTGAAGTCCGCCTTCCTCAACGACGAGGTCTCAGAGACGGTCTTCGCCAAGAAAGCTCCGGGCTTTGTCGTCAAGGGACAAGAACACAAGGTGCTGCGCAAGGTCCTCTACGGGCTGTGGTAGGACCCGTGGGCGTGGATCGCCAAGTTGGATGCCACGCTGGGCGAGCTTGGGTTCACCAGATGCGCCACAGAGCACACGCTCTACATGCGACGACGGGGGATGGAGGAGCTCATCGTCAGCGGAGTGCGGGCAGAGGACATCGCTGGCTTCAAGCACGAGATGGCGGCTCGATTCCGCATGAGTGATCTTGGCTTGCTCTGCTACTACCTCGACATCGAGGTGAAACAGGGGAGGAGCACGGTCACTCTGTGTCAGCGCGTACGCGGAGAAGCTGCTGGAGCGGAGTGGCATGGCGGATTGCATGCCGTGCGTGACTCCGACGGAGGAGCGGCTGAAGCTGACGAAGGCCAGCACCGCGGCGAATGTAGACACAACAAGCTACTGGAGCATCGTCTGCGGGCTGTGCTATCTTGTTCACATGCTGCCGGCCATTGTGTTCGCCGTGGGCTATGTGAGCAGATTCATGGAGGATCCGCAGGATGATCACTGGGCTGCGGTGAAGCGGCTCCTGTGCTACATCAAGGGGACAACTGACCAGGGCATGGTCTTCCTCAAGGCCGGTGAAATTGGGCTATGACTCAATGGCTTCAGCGACGCGGACATGGCGGGCGACATCGACTGGCGGAAGAGCACCTCCGGCATGCTCGTTTTCCTCGGCTGGTCCTCGATCGCTTGGCAGTCGCAGAAGCAGTAGGTGGTGGCGCTGTTGACGTGCGAGTCATAGTATATCGCAGCGGCCACAGCGCCGTGCCAGGTTGTATGGTTGCGCCGCCTGCTGGGCGAGCTCACCGGCGAGGAAGCTGGTCCGCCAACTCCAATGGTAGACAATCAACCCGCCATCGCCCTCGCCAAGAACCCGACGACCGAAGCAAGCATATCGACATCAAGTATAACTTCCTTGTGATTGTGTCGATGGAGGACAGATCGTCCTAGAGTACGTCGAGAGCGGCCGACAGCTCGCGGACATTCTCACCAAGTCACTCTGGTCATCTTCGGTTCTCTGAGCTGAGGGAGAAGATTGGCATGGTGGGACTCAATCTCAGGGTCTAGGTGCAGCAGGATTAGGGAAAGAATTGTAAGATAATCTGCTATCCTTGATTAGCCTTTTGCAGCAGCAGAGGTTTGGCACTGTGGTCAGCTCTTGTTGTACCTTATGCACTATTACTCTATTATAGAAGTATGGAAATAGGCCAATATGGTAGTGGCATACATCAGCCATGTAGGTACTAAACTTGTATATATACTAAGGGATTGTAATAGAGCAAACCAGCTCAGTTTGCCACACATTCAGTTTCAGAGCAAGTGCTTGTGCTGTGTGTGTGCTCTGTTCTCACCCCTTTCTTCTACCTCTAGTCGTGGTTTGTGTGAGTGTGTTGGTGAGCTAGCTGCTCACCTGTGCAGGAAATCGAGGGCCAACAGGCGCGTGATGTTGAAAGGGCACAGGGCCGGTGCTACAATGGTTGTCACCTTCGTCCTCGCTACTCTCACCATCTGCCTCATGGTGGCTTCTCGCCATCAGCACAGGCGGGTACTTCCACAGTCTCCGCAGCGCGACGGTGGCGGGCCAGGACTCCAGGCCCATGAGGCACCCGACGACGCCCGGGGCAGCCCCATTGGCCGGGTGCGGCTCCAGGGCCACAAATGCCTGAAGCACCAAGGTTCAATGTGCACTCATGGGCCACCACGTCGGCAAAACCAGGGTTGAAAACCACCTCATCAAGGGGTTATATATATACACGGTTAGAAGATGTTTGTGCGGGCAGAATACATGGTTTTATAGTTCAGTTGGTGAAGTAGACACCAAGCCAAACATCAGGGGGTTATATATAAGACTTTTTCCTTGCATATTTTGCATCATCTGAAAATGCCCACGGTACTATTGTTGGAAATTGAACTTTCTTGAGTGATTCATTCTTGCCGCTTCTAATAATTCATTGAATGCCCGGTCTTTTATTTCTGGAGGGAGGGAAAAATTGTGCTACTTGTCAACCAAACACTAAAATTCCCCTCTAGTCATAGGAAACATGTGGACTGTGTTACTAGTGTGTTCTAAACAACTTCAAGTTACAAATATAGAGTGCTAGGGCTGCCTCACTATTTTATAATTTTATCTCACACTGTTTAAAATAGATCATCACACCTAGAATGCTGGTATGCCTAGTTAGAATTGCAAAGCCCAAAGGATATTTGAAACTCCCAAATGGAACAGAGACAAGATGCTACAGGTGAAGATGATTCCATATCACTTTGCTTCTTGGAGATGATAAGAGTAGGCTGATAACTTTTCGAAAAGAACTGCTTGTAGTAGTTAATTATTGTTGTTTCCATGTTGAAGAATTTTCATGAATCTTCTAACGTCTTGATTATTATTACAGTCAATGGAATCTAGGGACACCATTCCTGATCGAAAACTTCTTGCAAGACTAGTTATAGTAAGAGAAGAAGCTCGGAATATGATGGGAGGTGGCCTGTTAGATGAGAGAAATGATCGTGGTTTGACTACCCTCCCTGAGGCAGAGGTATCTTTAAACTTGGAAATCCTAATGTGACATGGTAAACGTGTATTGCATGACTAATTGCAAAATATCAAAGGGTCTTTAGTCTATTTGGACTACGTATATATGGTTGTTGAGATGCGATGAAGTGACATCATCAATTTGCTTGTCCACGTATATCTCAGTGTCTATAATATTATTTAGCAATTTTTTATGTTTAACAACTACATGAACTTTTCCATTTTATCACTTTGAGGAGTTAATACCTTTAAGGCTTTGTTCTCTTTTCTTCCTATTTATATGAACTCAAATTTGAGCGCCATCCATTATGAGTGCAAAAGGACTATTTTGATTTTCTTGTTTGTTGACCAAATATGATTTGTGTATGTTTTTTTTATAATAAAGATCCAAATATATTGAAAATGTGAAAGCTCGATACAAAGGCTTGGGAATTATCTTCCCAAGAAACGAACTTTTAGCTCCCTAGCTACTGTTACAAATAAAGAAAGACTCAACTAGATAATGATATTGAGGCCCAATAGAGATTATATGTAAAGAGAAAGACCCTAGACTAGGAGATTACACTAATACCCTTGACTACTATACCTTAACACCCCTCTCAAATGCAACGTGAATGCAATGTCGTTGTATTTAGAGAGTTCACACTACGCACTAGACATGAAAATCCAAAATCCAAAATAGATGTACTTGAAGCGTGCAACTCGACCTAGACCAAAGTCGATGTAGAAAATGATCTCCTCCACAAGAGGGTACTGCGTCCTTCATAACCCGTACTTCAGCAAATATCTCAAGTCTTCACGAAACAGTACTTCAACTCTTCAAATATGAACCTTTGCTTTGGAGACTTTGAACTCGATGAGAATAGAGATGTGTCATGACAAACCAAAAGAAGTGCAAGATGGCACACAGTAGGATACAATGGTGATGACAACAAATAAATGACCATTGATCATGAAGTGTAGCAAAATGGCTACGAAAGAGACCAAGAAGGCATAGTCGCATCAATGATGATGATGATTAGTTAAATCGATGGGACTCTGCTAACCAAAGCAAAACAATTGGTTGATCTGACAAAATTTGTGGACACGCACGACTTGCACGGCTTGACATTTGTAAATTGGGCTTGGATGGACACAAATGCAACAAATGCAATGGAAGATAGGCCTCAATATACTAGCAGCATAAGATTGGAGACCATTCGTACCCAACAAAACAGAGCAGAGGGCACCTAGTCACCTAGAGCACCACTACAGCAGACGACAAATTAGGTCCACGACTGCGGACTCCAGGCCGCGATGAGTGGCTGAGGCCGTGAAGCGACTTATGCAACAAGTCTACAGATAGGCTTAGGGCGGACGAGGAGTCGCACAGTCGTGCGAGCTCTCCGTGCTTGAAGACGGCGGGACGGGCAGACAAGTCCTCGGATGGGCGGACGGAGGCGTCGGCCACGGAAGATGCCGCGGCAGGAGACGCGCGGACGAGGGCCACATGAACGTTCGCTCGACGGGAGAATGTAGTGTCGCAGACGGGCGAGCGATGGGTCGATTGGACCGCGGGTGGGCGCAGATGAGGAATCGCGACGACCCGCGGATGAAGGCCGCGCGGTCTTGGAGGTGTACATCGCGGACAGATGGTGCGATGCGGCGATGGGCCGCGTGAGTGGGCGGCAGGCGCAGAGCAGCGCTTCGACGGCGGCGACGACATCAGAGCGGCTGTGGAAGTCGACCACGTATAAACGGACATCGAAGGACACGGATGGCACGCCATATATAGATGACGTATATACTTGACATGGATGACCGAAGTTGTGGATGGGGAATCCGCTCGACTAGGCGGTTCCGAAAAAGCGGACTCCAAAAGCATTGATGGCGAGATGTCAAGATCCATGCGAGGACTAGGCTGCCCCTGTGAGGCGGAGATGGATTCTCTTGGGGAGACAATGTGAGGAGGGGTGGTGGCTGGATCTAAACCCAATGCTTTGGTACAATGTTATGAATATAGAGACTCAACTGGATAATAACATTGAGGACCAATAGAGACTATATATAGAGTACATAGGAGACACAAGAGGAAAACCCTAGACTAGGAGATTACATTAATACCATTGACCACTATACCTTAACAGCTAGAAAGATAGAGTCAGGACTTTGACTCAAACAAGGAGCACATAAACAGATCCTCATTCTCACATTCGGTTAGTACAATTGTGGCTCCCCGGAATCTTCTTTCTGTTCGCCACTCGCGACAATTCCTGTTCTATTGAGTTTGACGCTTTGGGTTTTTCTATTAAGGACCAGCAGACGGGGTGTGTGATTCTTCGTTGCAATAGTAGCGGGGACCTCTACACTATTTCTCCATCGCCACCCTACAGTTGCAGCGTTGCCACTTTGTCCACGCTCTGGCACCACCGCCTCGGCTATCCCGGTCCTTCCACCCTCACAACACTCCACAACATGTCAGTCATCTCTTGTAATAAGCAAACCATGATTCTTGTGTCATGCCCCTTGACTTAGCAAACACACATGGCTCCCCTTTAGCAGTTCCACCTCTGTCACTACTGCTCCTTGCTTTAATTCATTGTGAAGTATGTATATCTCCGGTGCTCAGTACTTCAGGTTTCAAATATTATCTAGTGTTGCTTGATTACTCCCATTTTTGTTGGTCTTTGCGCTTACGCCACAAATCTGATGTGCACCACCATATTGTTGAGCTTATTGCTTATGCCCACACGCAGTTTGGGATTGACGACTAAATATCGTCGGCAGTCCACCGAGGGGTATACCCACGATGATAGATTGTACGGAGAGGTGCGCATGAACAGGAACTAGATGGCAACAGAGACACAAGATTAGATAGGTTCAGGCTGTTAGCTCGATGTAATATCCTAGTCCTGTGTTCTGTTAGTTTGTATTGACTATCTGATATGATTGAATGTGTTTTGGAGGAGTCCTCTACCCGCCTTATATAACTGGGGTGTAGGGTTACATGTCGGTTAGATCTTAGTCTAATCAAGTAAGAGATAATCTTTACATAGAATCTAATATCCGGCACATCCTAAGAGATCTCACGACGTCTTCAGGATGTCGCCTAGATTACTTGCGGTGTGCGCCGAGCAGTGCCGTGCTCCGCAAGTCGTCATCTGGTGGGCTGGACCGTCCCTGATGGTGCGGCCCATGTACTACGCCGTGGGTACCCGGGGTTGTAACCCCCACAGGGACCATTCTGAAGTCCTTCCAAGCACAAGGTCCCATGTTTGATTAGCAATGAGGGCACCATATTCTTCCTCCATAGCACGCTTCCAACTCGGATTAGAAAGAGCACCACGATATATTTTTGGAAGCGAGCTGATATCTGTGGAAATCGTGGACAAATTGAAGTGTTGTCACGGTTGACTGATACCTGACTTGCCCCTGGTTTGCATAGCATGCTGGTTGGTGGTGGGAGGTACCGGCACAATAGGCGCTTTGGAGGAGCGTAGAGCAGCCGGGATGACGGTGGAGCCACCGGGCGCCGGCAGTGGCGCCGGCGGTGCCACGGGCACCGGCGCGGTAGCCGACAGTGCCTCGGGCACCGACAATACCACAGGAGTCGGTGGAGGCGCGGGAGGTTGCTGCCGCGCATGTACACCTGCGTGATCTGTTGCCGATTGGGGACACCAGATGCAGACGACCGAAAGCGGGACCTCCGGTGGTGTCCCGCACGGCCACTCTGAGCGCTTCGCCCAGTCTTTGGTCCTGCATCGCCCACAGGAATGGGTGCCGCGCTACCGCCCCGCCCTTGACGATTATTAAAGCAAGGCGCCACGATCGGAGCCGGTAGAGGAGGCACCGTCGCGGTCAAGAAGAGGCTGATCCAATGCCCCGTCGTGATCATTTGAAGGGCCGTGAGCCGGATAAATCATCGGAATGACGTCGGGTACAACCGGATCAATATCTGTGTCATCCAAAAATCATAGGCACTCAAAGGGGAGAGTGCAAATAAATGGGAGCTGTTGTTCGTCAAAGAGCACATGACGAGAGATGATGATGCGGTTTGTGGAGAGGTCAAGGCAACGATAGCCTTTATGGTTTTCAGGGAAACCAAGGAGGACGCGTTCAGCAGAACGGGGGGCAAGTTTATGAGGCATGGTGGCGGAAAGGTTAGGATAACAACGGCAACCGAAAACTCGGAGATGATCATATGTGGGTGGTGTGCCAAAAAGGGCTTGGTGGGAGGGGGGGGGGGTCGGTTTTGAAGGGTTTTGGTGGGGTGAAGATTAAAAAGATGAGTGGCAGTGCAAAGGGTTCAGCCCAATATGCAGGTGGCATGGATGCTTGGAATAACAGGGTGCGCATGATATTATTGATGGATCGAATGACACGTTCGGCCTTGCCGTTTTGTTGGGATGTATGAGGGCAAGAAAGGCGAAGATGAATACCTTGTTGAAGGAAAAAGGAGTGAGCTGCATTGTTGTTCAATTCATGACCATTGTCACTTCGAATAAACTGTATACAACAATTGAAATGAGTGAGCACATAGCTATGAAAGTTGCGCATAGTGGTGAATGTTTCAGATTTGAGTTTAAGCGGAAAAGTCTACAAATAATGAGTGAAATCATCCAAATACACAAGAATATTTGGAACCGGATATGCTCATAACAGGAGATGTCCATAGGTCACAGTGAATTAACTCAAAAGGTTGAGAGGCCCTTGACAAGGACTTAGAAAAAGGCAGTCGACTATGACGACCCAATTGACATGCATGGCACAAGGAAGTGCATGAGCACTAGAAATAACAGAAATAGATTTATTTGAGCGCAAGCGTGAGAGGACTTGGACGCCTGGATGCCCCAACCGTCGGTGCCAAGTAGTCTCGAGGGCAGCCAACATGACACGAGGATATGAAGTGGACGTCGGAAGGAGCAGATAAAGTTCTCCGAAGCTATCACAACGGTGGAGCACCGTCCTGGTTTGGAGATCCTTCACAGAACCAAAGGGGTCAAACTCAAGGACATTGGAAAGGTGGAGAGGACGGTGGGGATTAGGGAGTAAAGCTTGACCGGAACAAGTAATAGGAAGACGGACGCCATTACCAACGTAAGATGTTGGAATTTTAAGGAAGAAAGGAGCTAATGGAGGAGAGATTACGGAAGAGGGACGAAAGATGCGAGGACGCACCCGAGAGTCCATGTACCAATTGGCATTGGGTTGCTGTAGTGTCATCGTGTTGAAGACGTTTGCCAAGGCGGCCTGGTTTCAGGACGCCGTGGAGACTGTGGACGCCATGACCGTAGGGGTAGCCGGGATGAGGGGCCACAGCAAGGTGCGCCTGACCAGCGCCTGGAGCAACGCCCAGAAACGGTGGCGGTGGACCAAATTGTTGCTGGAACGGGCCTCCACCCGGGCGAGCGCCCAGAATACCCTAGCTCGGCATAGGCCACATCTGAATTTGGCCGCTCCATGGGTTGGACCACGGACGGGGAGCACGCCAGCGTTGTTACCCGTCCACCCCCTGCCGCACCCCCAAGGACGAGACGGAGGACGAGGGGCCGACGGCATTGGAATTGCAGCGAAAGCCACAGCCTCGCCGGCGTAGGAGCACGAGGGGGGCGCCTCAGTGCGGTGAAGACGGCAGCCGAGGTGGAAGTCGGGAGCTTGGACTCCTCCAGGGCGAGCAGCGACTAGGCCTCGAGGAACGAGGGCAGTGATGTCTTCGTCTTCGGAATGGAGGCCATGCCGTGGAGTGGTTCGTTGACACCGCGGAGAAGGGCGAGAAGCAGCGTGGAGTCGTTGACGGGTTGCTCTAGATCGGCGAGCCCATCGGCCGAGGTCCTTAAGTCACCGGGCGAACTTGACCACCCGCAGAAGTCGCCTACAGGACAAGGCACGAAACTTGGCCTCAAGAGTCATGGCGTGAGACGCCTTGTTGTCGAGGAAGAGGTTGGCCGCCTTGGTCCAAATGGTGTGAGCAGAGGCGCCGGTCTCCATGATCAAGCGCATCACGCGAGGTGACGATGATGAGTAGATCAAGGAGCGGATGGAGCAGTCGATCACCAACCACGAAGCATCGAGATCTTCAAGCACCGGTGTGCGATGTGAGATAGCGCACTGAACTTGCCAACGAGGGTGAGAAAGAGTTCACGCCAGGTGTAGTTGGATGGATCAAGTTCTAGAGCGAAGGGGATGTGGGTTTTGATGTTGATTGTAGTGAACGCCGAAGCGAGGCTCGGGGCAGGTGGAGGGGGAAGAGCAGCGACGATGGCTACGGCCAGAGCAGCGGTAGCCTGGGCGTTGTCGTCCATGGATGGAAGGAGAGGAGGGGGGCGTCGTGATGGATGGGGCGATGGGAGAGGAGGTGGGTAGGAGAGGGGTCACCTAGTTGATACCATGTGAGAGGAATAATCCCTTCTGTTCCATTGACTAATCAAGAGTTTATAAAGGAGTTACATGACTCTTCAACTACTAAGACTCTTCATTCTAGACTATACAAATTCTAGGCTATTCATATTCTAATAGATTGCTCACTGCATGGGGGTTTACGTGCCAACAATCTACAAACTTACATGCTCAAATAGTAGACACTTGTAGAACCTCTGCCCTAAGCTCTGGGCTTGCTCGATACCCTACCGACCTGCCTATTGCCACAAAGGTTGCACTGCACTAATGGAAGGTTCCCTTGAGCATCTCTGAATGCCAAAGAGAGGGCGGGCCTGATCGCCGACGCAGATTGAGAACTCGCCGCCATCCTCCACCTCTCTGCTGGCCCTCAAGTGGCTAGGGTTTCAACAGGGACTGGATGAGAGAGGAAATAGAGAGGCGAAGAGTGAGTGGTTTTAGGAGGAAGAAGAGGCAATGAGAGAAAGGGAGAGCGGCGGCTAGCTAGGGTTAATGGGTTTGGTCAGACCGCGTTGGCCGAGCTAGGGTCAAAATCGTCCACTCAAAGAATCTTCTCCCTCCAGAAACAGTGAAAATCATATTCTATTGCGTGAGGTGTTACAAAACAAACGCGATCCAATAATGGTACTCGGCGAATTTTGATGTTGGTAGTGTGATGTAGACAAAACCACGTTTTTTCCAATGTCCCAGAGCAAAATTTGCCTTATTTCTAAAACTAGCGAGGGGAACAAGGGGAAAGAAGTTGAGGCCAGCCCCTTCCCACCAACCAGCAAGGTTGCCGGAGATGGGGGAGGGAACGGGCCAGATCTAGGTGGCCCTAGTGAATTGAGGAAGAAGGTTGAGTCTCCCAGTCGACTTGTTGCTTGCCTGATTTGTGTATGCTTGTAACATGGTGTCATCAACAATGAACGAGAATTGAGATCAGCCAGATGTGAATTTAATGGGTCATACAGCTAGTGATGTTAGTGATAGAGTCCCCGTGGCAGGTGTCCTGTCAATCAACAACAACAACAACAACAAAGCCTGTCAGTCCCAAACAAGTTGGGGTAGGCTAGAGTTGAAACCCACCAAGAGCCCGTAGTCACGGTTCAGGCACATCAATAGCTGAAAATGACAACTGAAAAACAGAAGTTTGCACTAACGACTTGTGGGTAATGGCAAGAGAAGTTAAAACTTATATTCTATAATTAGAAGGAAGGCTGTGTTTTACTGGCTGAAAAAATGCTTGAACTATAGACGATTTATTGAGATCATTCATTTATATGTCGTTGAATTCAAGGTATTCTTTCACGTTAAATTGACAGGTAAACTTTTTGAGCAAGCTCGTTGCTCTTAAACCTGGGAAGGCTTTGGAAAGGATGATAAAGGATGTTATGAATGGCAGAGGGGAAGGTGCTGATAACATTGAACCAAGTGCTGCTTCGCATTCTGAACAGGAGAGTCTAACTGGAGTATTAGGAAGGGTGAGTTTTGAGTTCAAATTGGTTCATTAGTATGTTCAGAAATTAGCAGATATTTTGCATTAATAAGTATTCGCTGCACATACTTATGTGACCTCTAGGGAAGTGTATCTGGCCACAAGCCACGGCCAGTCCGCCCTGGAATGTTCCTTGAGACTGTTTCCAAGGTATTGATCTCATCTTTCATTTTATACAACACATTCACTTTTGTTTAGCATGACATACGTTTTCCTTTTGTCTGCAATTTCGTCGCATGGCTGTAAGGTCCTGGGTGGCGTATATGCAAGTAACACATCTGGCATTACAGCTCAACATCTGGAATGGGTGAGCACCTTACTGGTCCATTCTTTGACTGATCTTTTGGCTTATAATCTACTGTTGTATGCCAATCATGATGGGCATGGTTTGACCGTATTTTCTCATTTTAGGTACATCAAACAACACTCAAAATTCTTCAGGAAATGGCCTTCTAGCATTGTTATCAGGGTTCACTAATAGTTTGTGAACATAAGGAGTTTATAGCTACACATCTGTAGCTATTGAAGGTACATGATATCAGATAAGCCTTGTGTGCACCAAGGTATGGACTGTTTTCTATTTACCGGATTTACTGGTCCTACCGGTCCCGCTGTGGTTGTTATTAGAGACCTTTTTTAAGTGGTCACATATCTTTTTGTTGAGAAGTGGAGTGGAAGAAACGATAATGGGTTATCTGAAGGCCGTAGATCACTCGTGGGAAGAATGTTGCCGCGTTGTGCAGTCTAGAAGTAACTTACAGGCTTGGAGGTGGTAATGTGGTATAACCATGTGGTTGCCCTTGCCAATTGACTAATTTTAAGTACTAGACTCATAACAGATTTGAGGCGTAATACCATTATTGACATTAGTGTTTGTTCCGTGGCAATCTGTAATTTTATCTTTTCACACATTGTTCCGGACTTCTGGTTGTTTATTCGTCATAGGTGATATTCGGTTAGAAGCAGCTGCAAGCCTGTTCGTTTAGCTATGGCTTGTCGTAAACGATCGTAAATTTCTAGCCGGAATAGTATTTTTCTCTCACACAAACTAGTCAGCAGTACTTCTTCACGAATCAGCAACGAAACGAACCAGCCAACCGAACAGGCTGAAGAGTGGTATCTTGGAATACAATAAAATGTGGCTACAGTAGTCTGAATATAACCCCAGGTCTTTTCTCCAGTTGGCAACAGGCAAATATTCACAACTTCCGGCGCTTTCGTTACGGCCACCACCTAGTGATCTTCGACTGGACTCGCAAACGGTTCTAAACGGGACAAGGGTATGTACAACAGTTTAAGAGAGACGAGACCCGCTCGAGGCATTGCGCAGCGGCCTGGGGTGGATGTGTACCCCCCGCACCGCCGAGCAAGCCGGACAGTGCGTGGCCGTGGAACACGGACGCACCCCCTGTTTTTCCATTTCCATATTCCTAGTTTTTCCATTTCCATGTAACTAAACCGATTCAAGTGAAATTTAAATATGATTATTTTTTTAGTAAAATTTAACCGATTCATATGAAATTCTTACATTACAAATAAACTATATTTGGAGGGGTTTGATGTATGGATTTTGGTTACCTGAGTGAAATCACTCAGATTTCTAATGCCACAAATTCATGTGATCCATTACATGAATTTTACTCCAAGGCCGTGAATCGGATGGATAGAATGTGTTACTACTATAGTGGATCTATCCAGCGCTGGACTCTGATCGATGGATGCGTCGGAAGGGCTTGGGACTGGCCGGCTGGCCCGGAACCAACTGGGCTGGGCAATGCATCTGTGGCCTGTGAGCGACCCAGAAGCCCAGATGATGACGTCGACGTGGGGGGGACGGATTTTTGGACGGTCGATCGAGAAGGCTCCGATCTGCGCAAACGCAATCCAGGATAGCATGGCGAAGGAGGAGGCGAGAAGCGATGAGATCGAGGCGGCGGCGGCGCCGGCGCCGAGAAACCCAGTTACGTATACGAGGAGGAAGAGGAAGAGAACGGGAGGAGCCAGCGGTAGTCAGGCGGCGCTGGAATGTGCGACGACGTCATCCGCGGCATCTTCGCCCGCGTCCCGGCGAGCACCGCCGTCGCGTCCATGGCGGCCTCCAGGCACCACCAGGCCTTGATCCGCTGCCCGGAGTTCAGGGCCCTCCACTGCCGCCTCGCCCCGCCGCTGCCAGACCCCCGCGTCGCGTACATCGCGACGGCGAAGGTGAAGAGGAGCGGCGACGGCCGGAAGCAGCCCGTCAGCAGGGCTCAGTGGCAGCGCGCCGATGCGCGCGCTCGCGGGGGCGACGTGCCCCAGGATGACGTACGTCAGCACGTGCCACGGCGTCGTGCTGCTCGTTGGTAAGGCCAGGCCTGCCACGTGCGTCCTCTGGAACCCGGCCATCGCCGACGAGGAGGAGGAGAAGGTGAGGGTCCCGGTTTCGGACGACGACGATTGTGCCGTTTTGGGGTTGGGCTACGGCCGGAGGAGCAAAACCTACAAGCTTCTCCTGTCACGCCAACGGAAGGTGACGACGTCCTGGACGAGGAGGGATCCAAAAGAGCTGCTGGTCTATGCTCTCAGTGGCGTCGGCGGCGGCGGGGAGCAACCACGACTACGGACGCTGTTATCTGAGGGGCTGGACGGAGAAATCAGCAGCGAGTCCCTCTATCTGGACGGCACGATTTACCTCCTCCACGTCGACAAGGCAGTGATCTTGGCTTTCGACGTCGACGACGAGACGGTCACCGCCATCGATTTGCCAGGCGAGAGAGACGAACACGGCTGCAAAATAATGTCCACGACGCTCTTGTTGATCTCCGGCCGTCCATGTGTGGACACGCAGGATAGCCAAGACAGAGCGCTGTGGCTGCTCACGGTGGAGCACAGTGGGAGCGGAAGTGCGTCATCGGCGACAAGGCGTCTAGTGACAACAACCGCCTTGATCCCTACTCAATCACCGGCGTTTGGGACTGCGGCGGCGTGTTATTCATGTACTTGCGCAACAAAGAATACGGCGACAAAGACGGCAAGCTCTGCATGTACTGTACCACAACCAAGAAGACGATCGAGGTAAACCTGCCGCGCAAACTGACGCCGCCGGAGGAGTGGGAGTACGCGATGTGCTGGGGTTACAAGCCGACGCTCGTGATTCCAGGGAGCATTGTCGTCGGCGACGGTGAGGCCATCATCAGTCAAGATGAAGAGGAGCGCCGAGTCCGGACCGCGGATATAATGGCTGCCCTGTTACCGCTCAATGAGCGAGACAGGAGGAAAGGGCACAAGGCAACGCTCCACACCGTGTGCTTCACGGAGTTCTTGGTCCGCATCATGCAGAAGCTGCCAGAGAACATGAACGAAGTAGCCGAAATGCCACTGCTGAAACCAAAAGATTCAGGGAAGGATCTTTACTATTCAGATTCAGATCCCGATTTGGATTCAGATTCAGAATTTGAGGCTAGATACATGAGGTACTTCCGTAAAACCAGACGGATGATGATTATGTATTGAAATAAACTGTAAGTCTACGAGCTGAAAGCCTGAAACAACTAGGTCCTCTTATTTCACCTACAAGTTACAACCATAAAATCACTTCTCTCAGAGGAGAAAGAGCTCTGTTAGCATGGCCTATTCAGATTCAGGTTCAGGTTCAGATCTCGAACATAGACTCATAGTTACAACTAGTCTATTTGAGTTTTTTTAGTAACCAACCTTCGCATGTGCAACTCCTTGAAAATTTTATTCATGTTCGCGATTTCACTTTCCAAAATTTGCTACTACTCAGGATCGAAATTTGATTGGCATCTTCGAGATTTCCCGGTGTCTGAGCTTGATTGAAACTTAGTTTCACATTGTAAACAGTGCCTTATTTTCTAGTGGCATCTATCGAAACCATACTAGCAACTTAGCAAGGTTCAGGAGGACATTACAATAGCCGACGGCTACGAAATGTAGCCTCTGCTCTTGAGGCTCTCCACCGCATCCCTGATGATCTTCTCCAGGTGCCTGAACTGCAGCCCTAGCGCAACGAGCTTCTTCGACGCTACCTCCGCTTCTGCTCTCACAAGCCCAGGCTGGGTATCCTTGGGGAACCTGCCACAAAGCAACACCACACGTTTCAATTCCAATAGAGGAGAGGCAAGCATTCCCAGATGTTTTCATGCAGTTTTCATCGCGAAAAAAATAAGGGGTTTTGAAAATGTGGCTTACTTGGGCACTTTGTAGCTGGGGTAGAGCTCGGTGAGTTTGGCCGCGAAGTCGCTCAAGTGATTGATGGACTCAGCGCAGATGTGCCTCCCGGAAGCTGATGGGTTCTCGAACACCAGGAGATGGGCCAAAGCAACGTCTTCCACATGGACTGCCCCCATCCATATGTCCTTGTACTCCTCTGTGCAACCTGCATGGCCAAAATGATGTGCTTCACTGTTTTCTTCATCTCATTGTAATGGCACGGCATAATGAGCAAGCAAGAATAACAATGCTTCTGCGTACTGCATGGGGATTGAAGCCAGCAAATCAAGTGGCAAACAAGAGGATTGGTTGGTTTCTGCAAGTGCATGCATCGTTTGGGAACCATATATTGATTCAAATTGAACCGGTAATGTAGACATTATCAAAAACTACAACAGCTCATATTTTGTACTTTTTGGACGTGCTTCTTCATCCAATGAACGGCATAATGAGTAAACAAGAAGAATATTCTCAACACTGCATATAATTTGAAACTTGCATGAGGTTGGCAAAAAAACAAGAAATAATTGTTTGGTTTTTGCAAGTGCATGAATCATTTGGAGACCATATATATTGATTTAAACTGGACCCACTAAGGTAGCCATGATCGGATACTCCAACTCAAATTTCATATTTGGAACGAAATTTAGAATTCCAAACTATGGCCTGAAGCTTTACCTTGAAGGAGGCGTAGAAGGACGGACATGCTAGAATTGATGGTTGGTGGGATTATCGGGCCCAGGACAGACATTGGATTAATCACAACCACATCCAGCCCGTTTTCCTCTGCAAACTTCCACGCAGCCTTCTCTGCCAGCGTCTTGGAAACAGGGTACCAAACCTATGCACAAACACAAGCAAAGAGAAGCTGAGATCGCAGCGAGCGAAGCTACTGATGAAACCGAAGTTTTGCAGAGGTTGCATCTTGCACGCGTCCTGGAAATCCTGCAAACCTTCTCCAATTTCTGTGTTCACTGAGTTTCCCAGGCTGATCGTGGCATCATTCATGGCGCCATGGTACCTGGAGACGCTGCAATAGGTAGGCAGTACTGCAGTAGGCTCAGGCTCACCCCGTTTTTCTCGCAGTGGTCGATGTCGGTCCAGCAGCGCTCGTCGCGGACCTCGCCAGCGGGCCACCCGGGGCTGGGCATGATGGCCGAGCTGGACGAGGTGACCACCACCCGCCGCACGCTCCCGGCCTCCTTGGCGGCGCGCAGCACGTTCAGCGTCCCTTCCACCGCCGGCACTATCAGTTGCTTCTGCAACCAGCCATGCATAAACGGAACAGCAGGTCAGCCTGGGGTAGAGCGAGCCGATGGAAGAGGAGAGGACAGCCACGGGGCACACACCTGGGGGTCGCTGACGGCGTCGACGATGCAGGGCGAGGCGAGGTGGAAGACGCCCGAGCAGCCCCGCGCGGCATCCATCAGCGCGGCGCCGTCGAGGAGGTCGCCACGGAAGATGCGTAGGCGGCCCTCGCCGGCGCCGGCGGCCAGGGCGAGCAGGTGCTCCGTCTCCGCCCTGTCATCTGCGCCGCCCAAACAGTAACTATAAGGAACATAATCAGCGTCTGTGTACGTGTCGCGTGAGCAACTGGTACTGACCGGGGTTGAGGACGCCGGCGTGGACGTTGTAGCCGCGGCCGAGGAGGAGGCGGACGAGGGTGGAGCCGATGAAGCCGCTGGCGCCGGTGACCAGCACTGTCTCCCCCGCCATCTCTCGCGTCGTTTCCCTGAGCTGACTAGCTGGCTGAGCTGGGTCTCGAGTCACTCTTAACAAAACAGCGCAAGTCGGCTGATGCTGTTTTATTCTGTGAAAAAAATATTGTATCATGGATAAGCAGCTCAAGCGTACAGCACGCTACGTCACACTGGGATTTTTGTGGATGCGTGTTTAGCACCAGCTTCGGACGCCTCTTTTGGATTATCCACGACAGTCACAGCGATTGCGTACTGTAGCACGCATTGTGCAACTGCAGACGACGGCATTATACTGAGCTTTCTGCAGACTGCAGGCCAAAGAAAAGGAGGAGCAAATGGAGTGGCCAAGTACAGTTCACGTCGACTATCAGAACGTTCAGTGTGTGTGTCTAGGCTTCAACTTCGACAAGGATCCAATCCAATTCGGTACCTGAAACTTCATAATTAAGAACTGAAAAACCGAGTTAGCTCGGTTTTCTTTTTCAGATTGCACAGTTCCAACGCTATCTTATTATTATTATCATCATCATCTGGTGACATCATTATTACTACTAGTTACAAGCCACGCTAGCAACTTAAGCAAAGGTCCATGACGGCCTCACATCACAAGCACTGCCCATCCTGCCATCCATCCATCAGGATTCAGGAGACGTGGCCTCGGCTCTTGAGGCTCTCCACGGCGTCCCTGATGATCTTCTCCATGGGGGTGACCTGAAGCCCCAGCGCAATGAGCTTCTTGGAGCCTACCTCCTCTCTCACCAGCCCAGGCTGGGTGTCCTTGGGGAGCCTGCAGGTAAAGCAACACAGCACAAGGCTCACTATATTGGCTCAAGCACACACCCAGAGCCAGAGACCTAAATTTCAGTCTGATTTTCTTGGTGAAAAAAAAATGTGTGGTTTCTCGTACTTGGGCACTTTGTAGTTGGGGTAGAGCTCGGCGACTTTGGCCGCGAAGTCACTCCAGTGACAGATGGACTGGACGCACATGTGCCTCCCCGACGCCGATGGGTTCTCGAACACCAGGATATGCGCCATGGCAACGTCTTCCACGTGCACTGGCCCCATGAAGAAATCGGCATACTCCTCTGTGCAGCCTGCACGGTAAGAAACTTATAACAATGAGCAAGAAATAACAGTATTACTCCGTAATTCTGAACATTGCATACATGTATGCCTTGTATTTGTTACCACATTGCCAAAGCAATGCATGGTCATTAATGAACTGAAACTGCTGATGCGTGAACTGAGTCTGGGAGAGACATTTGGCCATACAGAATATGAAGTAGAAAAATAAAAGGAAAGGTTCAGAGCTGAGGTAACAACGACCCTAGGTAATAGCACTCCTACTTATCTTTTTTTGCGAGTTAAGAGATAGCTTTATTAGCTAGACACCAGAGTTAATACAATCGGCTTTGAGGGAGGCCCGAGCACACGCAGATGCTTGTCCCCACCATGCCGCAGAATGTTTAGTGCGCCTAGCTAAACTAGCTACAGAATTTGCTACCTGATTACAATCTCTCTTTACTTGGGATACTTTGAAGTCCCCTACGAGTCTGGACAGAGCTCTGGCCTCCGTCCAGTGTATTAACTTATCATGATGAAATGTTCAATGTATTAACTTGAAGAGGCTCATCAGAACAAACAAGGCATGATAAGTTAACAGTTACACTAATTTTAAAATGGACGGATAACAAAATTCAAATTCTCCCACCTTAGCAAGACGAAATAGGTTGCTGAACTGTTCTCTGTATCTTGGGAGACTTATTTTAGGACAGAGGTATAGAGGGAGTATGCAATATGCTCACCTTCAAGGAGGCGACAAAACATGGCCATACTAGCGTTGATGGCTGGTGGAATCATGGGGCCCAGCACTGTTCCCGGGTTAACCACAACCACATCCAGACCCTTCTCCTCTGCAAACTTCCACGCTGCCTTCTCTGCCAGTGTCTTCGAAGCAGGGTACCAAACCTACACGCAGAAGCAAATGGAGCCTGAGATACTAACAGCCAATAAATTGCTGATGGAACTGAAGCTCTGCAGAGGTTGCATTGCATTGCATCCTGGAATTTCTGCAGAGGTTTCCATGCATGATCTACGCTAGGAATAGGATGCGATTATACTATGTTTTCCAAAGTTCAGAGTTGCCTACAAATGGAACAACGACACGGTGGCCAAGCATCCACCCAGACAACACAGACGAGCATCTAGCAAACAGCAGCAAAGCATCCAACAAATGGAACAACGCCACATTTTCTTTTGTTGCAGGCTCAGTTTGGAAGGTTGTTGGTTGATGGTTGGTGTTGAGAGCGGTCGTTGTTTCTTTCTTTCTCACTCTTTTGCCTTTTTTTTTTTCTTTTCTTCTCTTTTCTTCATTTAGTGCGGCAATCCGTGGATTGCCTCGTGTTTCGGTTGCTACCCTCTCAATGAAATACCTGCTAGTTGGCGCGATCGCCAAAAAAAAAGTTCAGATTTCGCTGGGAAGCTCGCTCACCCCGTTCTTCTCGCAGTAGTCGATGTCGGTCCAGCAACGCTCGTCGCGGACCTCGCCGGCGGGCCACCCGGGGCTGGGCACGATGGCCGAGATGGACGAGGTGATCACTACCCGCCGCACTCCGCCGGCGTCCTTGGCAGCGCGCAGCACGTTCAGCGTCCCTTCTACCGCGGGCACCATCAGCTGGTTCTGCAACGGCGAACGGAGCAGGTCGGCGACGGGGAAACTGGCACTACGGCGCGGCACGCATATACCTGGGGGTCCTTGACGGGGTCGACGGTGCAGGGTGACGCGAGGTGGAAGACGCCCGAGCACCCCCGCGCCGCGTCGAGCAGCGCGGCGCCGTCCAGGAGGTCGCAGCGGAAGAAGCCGAGGCGGCCGTCGCCGGCGCCGGCGGCGAGCGAGAGGAGGTGGTCCGTCTCCGCCCTATCATCTGCATACCACCGCGCACTCGATAAGCTCCGCGTCGCAGGCAAGGGGCCAGCTTTTGTCACGGCATCATGGTGACGCTGTCCGGAGAGGAAAGCCGGAGTGTGCGGTGATAGTGCTACTGACCGGGGTTGAGGACGCCGGCGCGGACGTTGTAGCCACGGCCGAGGAGGCCGCGGACGAGGGTCGAGCCGATGAAGCCGCTGGCACCGGTGACCAGCACCGTCTCCCCCTTGCCTTCTTCCCCGCTTGCCATCTCGATCTCTAGGGATGCGGTTGGTACTACCCGCCTCTCGAAGTCTCTTTTGGATTTTTCCATTGAAAAATCACTCTCAGCCTCACAGGCTCGCACACTCATCACAGCCTTGCACACTTGCAGCAGAGTAGTAAATGGCACAGTACAGCTGTCATTACAACGGAAGCTATCAAGCTACAGTGACATGACCGCAACGGCAAAAGCCACGCGTTCCTCGACGACATGCATTTCTTTCTGCGCGGATGGGAGTGAAACAGAATTTATGAGGCGTCTGGCCCTGGATAAATTGAACTGGCGCCTCCTGTCCTACACATTCGACTCGCCCGTACAAAAACACCGCAGCTTAGATTCAAAAAAATTTGGCGCAGTAACCGTCACATCGAATCTTACGGCACATGCATAGAGTACTAAATGTAGACGAAAAAAAAACTAATTGTACAGTTAGGTGAAAAATCGCGAGAAGAAACTTTTGAACCTAATTAGTCCATAATTAGACACTAATTAACAAATACAAACGAAATGCTACAGTGAGCCAAAATCTAAAAATTTTTGGATCTAAACGGGGCCTTAGTGCATCGGTTAGCCTGCTTCCTCGATCGTGCTCGCAGACGGTGAGATGTGGCACCGTGGCAGTTGCTATGATAGTGTGGCCTACAGCTCGGTCTTGACGCCTTCAGCGCCCACGGCGCGGTGCCCTCTCTGCGAGAAGAGTCCTAGGAAGAAACTGGACACTCTGGAGGGGAACGAGGCGGCCTCCTCGCTTGCCGCCGGGGATTTGATCTTGCATATCATGTTGTAGTCGTGCTTCAGGTGCGGTTTCACAATCTTCTCCTATAGGCACAGACAAGGGTGATAAGAACCCATTTCTTTGAAATGACTGGCTGTGATACTTAAAACAGGAGAGGCGTCTTTCAAAAAGAAATGCAGAGGCCATGCTGTGTTTACCTTGAATTCCTCGAATGGACAGAAATCTTTGTTGCCGCACCCCTGCATACATATGGTCCAACTTAGCAACGATGCATTAGGGTATTAAATGTTTATGTTTACAGAGGACACGACTCTGTATCTTACAATGCACTAAGCTTGATATATGCAAGCAAAAAAGTTTACTTATAAACAACAACATAGCCTTTTAGTCCCAAGAAAGTTGGGTTAGGCCAAGCCATCTACTTCTACAAATGAAACATAGGAAGCATTTCCAAGAGTTATTTGAGATTGTGTTTGCCCATCCCTCTGTCCAAGTATCTAAAGCCCAAAAATATTTATTTGTCAGCAGCTGTACCTCACACAGACACAAAGTTCAAATTGCATTGACAGAAGGTATAAACAAGAAATATCTGCAGTATATAAATCAATATTCATCGTGTTAACTGTTAACATCTTTTAGGTTGAGATTATTTAATTGTTTGACTTCACAAGATACCTCTCAGTCCCAAAATTTAGGGGAGTAAAAGAGGGGTTAACAAATTTAGTTATCTCCTGGTAGCAAGGTGGAACAAATAGATGAAGAAAACACAAATACTAGAAGGGAAGTTATAAGTCTTACAGGCATTGAGACTGGGGCTTCGTTGTGTAGAACTTGAATGAAGTATGAATTATTTTGGTCTCCAGAGATTGTGCTGCCATCCGAAATTTTACTTGGGCATTGGTATAAAACCAGCATGTTGTTACCAGCAAAAGGCGCAACAACACTGCCTTTCCAGTTTTCCCTCTTGGGCGGCAAAGGGGTAGGTCCAGCGCTTCCTCCCTCTGTATCTTCTCAAAGTCTAGGCAGTCAAAAGTTCATATATATTAGATGTGTTAAATGAGGCATCAATCATCAATATATAGTTCAGAGGAAGAATTTCATGAACAGGACTAAGAGAAGAGGTGGAAACATACCTGGACCTTCAAGAAAAAGACCGAGAAGGCAGCTAAAAGGAACAACAGTTTCTGCATGTGCAAATCGGAGCCTTGCCTTTTCATACGTACCATCAGGGCGGTTCTCTACAATATCAAGGATTATGTAGCTATCTTGCCAAGAAGCACATACTCAAGATCAGAATTAGTTTGCTGAAATCATGGAATACAGCTACCTTCTCTAGCTATGATTGCTTCTTCCATTGACTGGACAACATCCTTGAGCAAAGGCAGTCCCATCCTATAGTTAATTGACTCACCATAGCCTTTTAGAACAAAACCCTCCAAATCATCTGTCCACTCTAGAAAACGAACCTGAACAGAACATTTTTTTACATTAACTTAAAAAAAGAAAAAGAAAAGCCAGGTCAAAAGCATTAAGAAAATGAGTTACTTAAAAGTATGTAAACACGAGTCAGAAAGCACAATAACAGATTGCTTAAGAAAGAACGCTAAACCTAAGGTGCCTGTCAGGAACTTGTCATATGTTCTGTTAAGACACATTTTTTTATGTAGCATTCTCGAATTTTCGATCAGGATTGGATCCAGTAGAGTTTTCTCTCAACCAACCAAACAATTAGTGGAACAACGAATTCCAGTTGGGGAATGACCAAATGAGAATATTTCAGTGTCTACCAAATGGGGAGGTTTAATTGCACGGATAGCTTGAGCAGCATAAACTGCTTGACTAAGTACTTTGAACGAACCAAATAACTCACCAATATACAACTATTAAAAACATGTAAAGATCATCTATACTTTCCAAAGCATAATAACCAACACCACCTCATGAAGATGACACAATATTTGAAAATGCAGTAAACTTTACAAAATTGAAAATTCAAGGCCTAATATCTGTGCAGCATTTCTGTCCACCAAGCACAAAAAGGAAAAAGTTGCCATTACAGATAGATAAACAAGAATTTGAACCATGAAGCATGGTGCAATAGATGTCCAGAGATAACCTACCTCAGCTTCATTGAAAAGCCCACAAGCTTGATTGGTTATATTCAACAAAGATGCTTCCTGCATTTAAAACATTCAAAGGTTATTTACATCTAACTCTAGAGCCTAGCAGGTAGGTATCTTCGGAAACATATGGCAGAAATCATCTGTTCCCTTTTCCATGTTCCACTCTTTACCTGCTTACAAAGAAACCAGAGGGAAGAAACATCCTGAGTTGTAAATTTTAGGTGATAACGATTGGCAACTGCAGCTGTGACATGGTCTAGAATTGGCGCCTTTTGCTTCTCTACATCAGGCTCCTTCCTTTTCCTGTATGCCTGGAAATGGTCCCAAGTTAATGTTCCTTATCCAACAATATGTAGCTTACTATACCCATAGAATTAACTACCATGTCAAAAAAAAAAAAGGAGAAACACATGAAGATGAGTGCATAGCCCTTCTAAACAGAAAGGGGGGAAAAGCTGGTGAGGGCAACCTAATAAGCTGTAAAGGTGAAACAGAAGCATGGATGCATTGTATGAAACAGATAACGTAAGTAGTGCATATAAGGAATGAAATTGCTTAGTAACTACTAAATAGCACAACATCGTAGCACCATTTGGTATTGCTACCATCAATTTATCTTCTGTTACCGATATTCTACAAGGCTTGATCAGAGTAGGATGCTTCAAATATCAAGAAAAATTCAAGTCGCATTAGCACATCTGCCAACGTTTTTTTTTTCTTATTCTTCCTCAAAAATGTTACTGCTACCATAAATATTACCTTGTATGTCTCACAGCTGTCAAAGAATCTCAGACAAATATCACTTGCGCGACTCTCACTCAGAACAGAAAAGGCACGGTTCTTCCCTTGTCCAAGCTTTCCTTTCCCAGAAAGTAGTCCCAAACCAAATGCCACTGCACTAGCTGATGCTCGAGGAACCTGTATTTTGAAACACAGTTAATCTGCTGAAAGAGTAGAAATCAGCAACATTTGATGACCATAGTTGTGTGTCTGCATCATTTTGGAACAATTTTGCTGGTTCACCTATTATCCTGAGTAATCAGATTTGACTGTGTAAATTATTAATATTTCCACAATAGGACCCTTCCATAAAAAATAACAGTGGAAAAAATGGCAGTATGACAATCCAAATGTGACATACTAGTAAGTGCCATTTACCTTTCTTGTGAGAATGAAAAGAGGGCTCATGATATATGGTAATATTAGATGCGAGAATATACACAGAAGCAAATTAAAGAAGCTATGTTGAAGCTGACCTGAGTTGCTCTTATTGAATATACATCAGGGTGATATTCGTCGTCAAGTAGATCTTGAAACCTCTCCCTCACTCTGGTAGCTAAATTGTACAGCTCCTCTTCCCCTTCACTAATCAGCTCACCACCTTTAGTCCTACCCTTCCAACGTGATTCCCAGCCTTTAATCCAGGATGGAATTTTCTTCAGAGAATCACTATCAAGGCCCTGATTTGCCTCTTTCATGAGGGCTTCCAGTCGAACTGCCAATCTATCCAGCTCCTTGATTCGCTTCTTGGTAGGAGCGCGAGTCCCATGTCTTGCCTAGTAAAAGAGTAACAGATAATATCAGGTTACCACCTAAATATGCAATCCTTTCTGTGAACTATATCATTTATTCGTAATTAACTTAAAATATATGTAGTTTGTCCATTACACATTAGGATTTTTCTAGACTCAAAAAAGAGCTTAGCGCCATATAGCCATACTATCAAAAAAATAGTTACGTTATTTCCCTCAAAACAAACCGAACCAACATGAAGTCATGAACATGTATGAATGCACTAGGAATGGGTGGCCAGAAACAGCATAATTTACAGAAGCAAACTTACCACTAGATTGAGGTGAATGACACGGCACCCATCTGGGACTGACGGCATGGAGATGACACTACTGGACTCTCTGGCCACATCATACCTGGACATCACCAGGGGATTAGAGCATTTCGTTCAGGTTAGAAAATTGAGAGCAGAGATCAATTCTCGGATTTAAGTGATAGTATCATTCAGATCACGCATTTGCTGATAATGATCTCTAGATAGGAAACCTCTGTTCCTAATACCTGTAAAACTCACTCTGTTCCTACAAATCACCATAAGATCACAAGTAATACTACATTTTTAAATCATTGTACTGTACCACCTAGATATAGTCATGAACACTAAAATTCAGGTGTACAAGTTACGACAGATCCATTATCTTACTACATAGAACTGAAATGTTTGTGTTTACAGTTAGACAAACCATGTCCCATCATCAGAAATTTAGCTCAATCGAGAGAGAGAGCGAGTAGTAGCGTCAGCCCGAAGCAACGCTGCGGATAGTTCGGGGCCGGCGAACCGTAGAGGTGGCAGTTCATCAGTCCTCCCCAACCCCGGCAGGACTCAACCCCCCCCACCCCCCCACCCCCAAAAAAAATCCCTATGCCCTAGGCCCAGTCGCACCAGTAACGCGAAGGGAACACATAACATCCGAATCACACTACCGCAGCACGCCACTAACCCACAGCAGAGAACGAGTTCAGATCAGCAGGCAGAGAGCCTCGAGCGGCAGCACACCTGGTGACGGTGGAGAGGTGGCGGCGGACGTCGAACTCGTCCGCCCCGGCCTCCCTAAGGAGGGGAGCGGCGGCGAGGAGCGCGGCGACGACGAGGAGCAGCAGCTTGGGGAGAGGCAGCGGCGCGCGCGGAGCAGCCATGCCCATGGCGAATTCGATTTGCCTTCTCGACTCGGTGCCTCCCTACCTTTTTTTTCCAAGTGAGAAGAAGCGCGGTTGGGTTGGGTGGGGGTGCTCGTGGGTTCGAGTCGTTCGATGGTATGGACGGCGACCGGGCCGGTTATGTTTAGGTGGGCGGCGGGCGCGCGGACGTGACACGCTGACACGTTCCCCCGGGCATCTGGATGCTCGGATCGTGTGTGGCAGTCGCGCTGGACGGCTGCGATGCAGCGGAGGATGGCGTGTTGTGGATTTAAAATGTACTCTCACGCAGCTGAACTGTTGTACTTCTAAGTTCGAAGTTAAGTCAATCAAATCTCAAAAAGTTAAGCCAATCAGAGTGTCAAGTTTGGTCAAGTTAATTAATATAAAAAAACATTACAATTTACATTACCCATTGAACGTATTTCACAGATCTATTCGAATTGAATACATAAATGTTGGTACTATTCTCTATAAAATTTATCGAATTCAACATTTTTTGACTCTGTCCAAACTATAAAAGTACATTCTTCTAAGAACAAAGGAACAAAGGGAGTAAGAGAACTCGTTATGTCAAGATTCCCATGATCTTACTCATATTTTTGTGTTCCGTGTGCCGACAAGTCTTTTGAAAGGAGGGAAACTTAAGCACATTTGTCTCTTCAAAAAAAAGTCAAGCATCTTTGCGATCAAGTTAATATCGACTATCAATTTTGTGCATTACACCCATGGCCTAAAAACAAATCGACTCAAATTACTATAGCACTCATCAGAAGTAAATACAGACTACCTAGTTCATATAGTTAGTTCTGGTCCCTTTCTCCTCGTCCTGGGCAACCTCGTTGGCCAATCCCCCTTTATGTTTTCAAATTTTCAGAGATATCATCCGTTCAGACAATCTAAGGGGAACACCAAATGTATTATTAAGGTGCAACAATAAAGACTTCAGACTTTCAGAAAAACAATAAAGACTTCGATGTTGTCATTGTGTAAATCATTTTGTTCTCTTGTACTCGAACGCCTTTTTTTGAAAGGGACGTTCCTCTTATAACTGTGCTAAAACAAAAAACGGAAACAGTTCTCATAAGTTAAACACAGTTGTGAAATACTTTTTTTTTGGATAATCCTCCATTTGTTGGGGTAGTCCGCAAATAATTTAACAACACCAACGGACTTTTTCCACATGTAAGCAACAAAAAATTGCAAGTACGAGGATCTAAACGAAAAAAAAATCAAATATCCAAGGTCCTCAACGAAAACGTCACAAAAAGACCTATTAAAAAACACTACTTCTCTTTACGAAAGGACCAAAATTCTATTGATTAGATTTGGCGGGGGCCGCGCGAACGCGTACCCCCTCTACCACAAATTATGACGTCCACTCTCCCACTTGGGGAGATGGTAAGCCAGCGCACCCTCCAAGTGCAATGAGGGCCACTGGCCTAGGCCACGAGCCTTCATGATCGCCCGTCGACCCCGTCCAGGTAAGTATGGAGCAACGTCGCACGGGGCGCTCGTCTTATAGAGCGAGCTCGCGGCGCGTCTGCCTTCCGCTGGCGAGGTGGTGCTAAACGCTCGGACCGAACGAACGCGTTCTGCGCTGTGCCGCTGAGTTCTCGTGGTCGTGGGCTACCGATACATGGTGAAGCATGTGGGCCTTTAAAGTTCTGGCCGAGATCCGTTTCGAAAGAAAGAGGCCCGGACCGAGACGAAACAGCCAGACCGCGGGCCGCAATGGATCGGTTAGGCGTGAAATTAGTTTTCGAGCCTTAGAAGCTTTGTTTTTTTTATTCTTTCTTACAGCTACATGCTCTCGTGCTATATAGAGAAAAGAACTCCTAAAAACAGAGGCAAAGCAATTGCAGATGCTGGCACTCTACTTTTAGAATCATCTGCAAGAGAATGGTTTAACACCAGACTGAAGCGAAGAGGTGTATGATTATTCCTTCATTCTGAGCATAAATGCATAACAGACAGATAATATGGCCTTCTCAGCAAAATTTCAAGTCTCACAGTAAACCGCCGAACAGCAGCAAAGCTTAGATCTTGGCGAGCATATAGATGATCGCATTTGCATGCATAAATTAACGGCAACCAGCTTCATTTATATGTACACAAATGGCTAGAGGCATCACCGTCCCTGAATAACACCACCAATTTGCATAACTGACGAATCATCAGGGTAGTACATGGAGAAGGGAGAAAGATTTTTGCTCCAAAATTCGACCCATAGATTTTGGAACAAATTAGCCAGCAAAGAAAAAAAAACATTAACATGAGGACTTCCAGCACTTCAATGCAATGGATTTCTCTAACATGCTTAATTTGGTGGATTCTGCGACTATCCTTTTACAACGAGATGAGATGAGATGGCAGGCAAGTCAAAGCTATCTTGTGCTGGCAGTCATCTTTGAACATTGGTGTGCTGGCTCTCGTATTGTCCATAGGAAACAGGTTGACTCATGTAATGAGAATTGGCGCCGGTGTGCATGTGAGCCTGTAATTTAGAACACAGATATGTCAACATCAGATCCAGGCTGAGCTGCTTGTTGTCTTGTGTAGTACTTATTTTAAAGATGATTTTAAAAGGCAATAAAAAATTGTAAATAAAAATCTATGACTCTTTTTGGCAAAAAATATTAACATCAAAAGCTTGGTTGTTCCATTATCTGAAACACAATGGCACCTACGTTTAGGAAGAAGGGATGTTCAGCTTATTCAGAATGGGAAACAACATACTAGAAGAGAAGAAAGAAGAGATGAAGGGTTGATCATTAATCATGCAAAATAAATAACTGAGGTTCAAATAACAGAAATAAGAAATTAATTCTGGAATCATATTTTTTATTTTCATTAGTGTGACTCAATAGACTACAACTTTTAGATGCATCCAAGAACAATTGCTGTAGTCAAATTAAAAGCAAATAAGAGAACAATCATAAAGCAGGTAATAAACAAACCTGATTAGTGCTATAAGCATCAGGATAAGCCTGTGCAGTATATATGCATCAGGATTGCCATACATTCCAGTATATGTTGGCTCAGAATTGCCATAAGCCGCAGCATACCCTGAGATAGGATTACACAAAAATAAAAAAGAATAGTAGTTCAGAACAATTACACAAGAAAGTTAATGCAATTGAAGTTAGACCTAGCTCCAACTAAATAATCCAGGCTAAGAGAAGGTGGGAGCTAAATGGATGGCTTCTTCACCTGGTTTCTTAATATGCTAAAGCTGCCCTATTTAAAGACGCCAGAAGATGTAGGGATTATCTTCTGAACAGAACCCAAGGCCCACTCAAGCAACCACCTCTCATATAATATAGTAGCCTGGTGCTACTATTACCAAACGGTTTCTTTGATTCCTACGTGAACCTAGTCCGCCCACCCTTCTTCACCACTGTTCCCAAGAGCTAGCATTTTAGATGACCTACTAAGCTCAAGGGACAAATGGCTCTATATTTAGTGTCATGTCGGGCTTTCAAATACACTTACAAGTTTCTACAGCACTTCAGGATATTAAAATTATCCAAAAGCTTTTTTGGAGCTATAAAGAACAGGAAAAACTCATTGGAGTTTGTACAGATTTCACAAAGCTAGCTGCAACCACAAAGATGATCTAAGCTGCTGAAAGCAATTAGTTTTGTGTTTAACAGCCTGCAATGAATGATGGTCATTATGCTAACTGCCTAAGCCATTCTCCCAAAATACATAAATTCTACTTAAAGGAAAGTGACAATATACTCAGCAGATTCAGTATGGTACCAGAGTTACCAACAGCTGCTGCTGGGTTGACAGCGGTGGCCCCTTTTTCAGCATTTGCAAGCTCTCCTCGAAGCCTCTCAATCTCACTAGCCACAGCAATCATATTTTTCTCCATTGCTTTACTTTGTTCGAGGTTATCAGAGTGTGCCTTCTTTTCGAAATCAACCGCAGCTCTGTCATATTATGGAAAGACAGTCAGGGACAAAACAACATATCCACTCTATTGAATTATGGACATGGATTTGTCATTTGGGGCAAACTACTTAAAAAGATTTAAGGGCACAAATCCTCAGTTTGAGAGTTTGTTGTGGGACTAGTTGAGAATCTAGGTAAAGGACGCCCGGTGCATTTCAGTGAAAAATATTTCTGAGCAGGACTAGAGTGGTTTAGGTGGATTAGTGGATGCAGTGGCAGATCAATGGACTAGTACAAATGAGCTAATAAGCTATTTTTGATAACATGCAGCCACGCCATACTTCATTCTTGGTTGAATTTTGCTTATTGTGCACAGTCTGGAGCCCAAACATTTTGTATTTGCATATAAATAATTTGGCTCCAACCAATTAGTTTTTTTGCCATATATATATATATATATATATATAGATCTAAATCAGGTTTATGCCAACTATGAGCTAGCATGTCTGGCAAAAATGTTCAAGCAGGAGTAAATGCAAAACCTATAACTGATTTGACATTTCCCCACATATTTTAATACTACAGGCCTATTAGGTTCAATACTTGGCCAAAACAAGCCACACTCCTTATGGCCTCTGGAAACATTGAAGCATAAAATGTGTGGTGGAATGGCCTGCATGTAGACCTCACATTTTTCCCCAACAAAGAGAAGAATCATGTTCTACTCACCCAAAATGTGATACATCCTTAGTAGATGTGAGTAGCACAAAAAATTAATTATCTACTATGCATCTCAATCTCAATAACCAGTCCAAAGCTTAAATCACAACTCGTAACAGAATCAGATTACACTGATTAGATGCATATGCACATGTTATTAGTTATAACCAGTGTGTAACGGGATGCTACTGCTGCAAATCTACTTGACGTATCATTCTATCCAAAATGCATTAGCTCAGAAGTCAGAAAATGTAATCACAGAAACACTAACAGACTGTCAACTCATACACACATAAAAAGGCTTTAGGAAACAAGGTTAACCAATAGAATGGCATCTAAAAGGCTACCCTTCAAAGTCACCTCGCAAGGCATTGTCAGTCTGTTGTAAGCATACCCTGTGAAATTGGCATGGTGACAGTGTAAAGGCTTCCTTGGACAAAGCAGCTTGCTTAAGGAGCAACAAATGCTTAGTTCTCTTTTACATGCAACAGCTCGCTGAAGCAGATTTGTTACCAGGTTTGAGGAGAAGCTGTGCAACACTATCCTAATCATCCTACACAAGGTGTGGCATGCTCTTGTATATTTACAAACTTCACAAGCTAACCATCAAAGCGCATGACTGTTTTAAATAATCTATATGTCAATACAAGCGGGGAGAGCTCCTAAGGTAGAAAAATCAGGAAATCGCAAGTTAGCAGTGGACATTAAACGTAAGTGATTAAATGAAGCAACAGCAATACCTGCCCTTCTGGATCTCCCGGCGCATGGTTTCAATCTGGGCACGGACGGAATCAGTCTTACTCGCCTCAGCCTTCTTGTGCGCGAGATTCTCCCGTAGGCCCTGGAGCCGGTTGACGAGGTCGGTGCGCACTGCGGCGAGCACCTGGACGTCGGCGTGGACCTGGTCGACCTCCGCGCGCGCGGCGGCGACGGCCCGCGCCTCGGCCTCGATGTGCGCCGCCTGGTCGGCGAGGGCACGCACCTCGCCCTCCCGCTCGGCGCGCGCCCTGGTGGCGGCGACGGAGACCGCCGGAGCTCGTGCTGCGCCGCGATGAGCTGCTGCTGGAGGGCGACGTGGGTGGCGGCGAACCGCTGGTTGTCGACGAGGAGCTCCTGGATGTCCTGGTCCCGGGCGACGAGGCGCTCCTCGATGAGTGCAAAGGCGGGGTGCGCGGCGAGCGGGTGCTGCGCGAGGATGGCCTCGTCTCGCGAGGGCGCGGGGACGGCGGCCGCCGCGGGACCTGGCGCCCGGCCGAGGAGGGGCGGATTGGGATCGTGAAGCTTGATGACGTGGGGCCCGCGCCGGGCGGCCATCGCAGGTGGCAGAGGCGGCTGCCGTCGCCGCGCTGGGGATTGGGTGGATTGGTTGCTCGCCTCGGCGAGGGCAGCAGAGGCGAGAGGGGAGGAAGTCGAGTCGAGGACGGGCAGTAACTGTCGACGCTGCTCTGTCTTTTGGGCTTAGTCGGCCGAATTCGCTGGTGCATATGGCCCAGGAGAGCCCATACGCTGCGATGCAACTATGGCTTTTCTTTTTTAAATGGAAATGAATTCCATTACTCATTTGGTGCACAATCAGCATCCACAAGTAACTGAATACAATCAGGGAGTGGATTCATTATAGGATTCTCATCTTCCCTACACTCACAACCCAAAGCAGCAAGAGCATGAGCCACCCTATTACATGATCTAAAAACAGCACACATTTGGAAGAAAGAAAAGTTGAGCCGGGCTAAGTCTTGAATCTCCTTTATCAAATTTCCAGTTGGGGGACAAGTTCCACTGATTTGAGGTTACTGCTTGCTGCACTAGGAGGGAATCAGTTTCAATCACAACTCTGCTAATGCCTAGATCGATTGCGGCTTGAATTCCTTGCATACTCGCCACCACTTCAGCTTGAAAGGCATCCAGCAGATGGGGCAAGTGATCCCGGCAGCGCTGATCACATTCCCCGCCCTGCCGCCCAATCTCTGATAATGTAGCCCCATCCTCCCGCACTGTTCACCGTCCAAAAAGAGGCATCACAATTAATTTTAACAATCCCCTCAGCGGGTTTTCGCCAGATTTTCAGCGTTCTCAATTCTCTCTCGCCTCCCTTTTTCATCAGGTTTATAACCTCAGCAGCATAGCAGAGAACTGACCTCACAGTAATAGGAATTGGACGTCGAATCCCCTCTTCTCTAATATTGTTCCTTTCAGCCCACCAGGAGCACAAGCTGATTGATCTTCCTTCTCCAGTCCCAGAATGAATCGGACTGCTTCACTTGCAGAGCCAAATGTCGCTAGCTGCTCGTGATATTTTTTCAAGCCCAGCTCCAGCCAAAAATTGCTTTACTACTGGATATTTGAAAAAGAGGTGGCCTCCATCTTCAAAACTTCCGTTACACATGACGCACCTAGTCTTGACATTCATCCCCCATTTAAAAGGGGTGGCAGCCGATCTACATGACTGGAGCACCAACGTCCTGGGTGACCTGCAAAAGCGTTTGAAGAAGGCGAAAGAGGAGCTTGAGAAGTACAGGAGAAGTAGCATCTCTAGGGAGTCGGTGGAGAAGGAAGCTATCCTATGTTTCAAAGTTGATAGGATAGAGGAGCAAATTGATGTTTACTGGAAACAAAGAGCCCATGCAAACTGGTTGTCGAAGGGAGATAGAAATACATCTTTTTTCACCAATGTTGCAAGGAGAGGCGAAGGATGAATAGAATATGAAATCTTAGAAAAGATGATGGGGGTTGGGTGAAAAGTGAAGTAGATTGATAAACCCATATCAAAAAAAAATCTTTTGGACCCCTCAACTTTCGAGGCTGTCTAATTTACCCTTAGTCTATAAAACCATTTTTTGATGCACACAACTTTGAAAAGCATTTTTTGCACTCTGGGTGGTTTTGATGATTGTTTCAAGACATGAAGACATGTTAGCCATCCTATATGGCGCTACGTTAGCTTAGAGGAGGTAAATCTTAGTAAAAATGTTTGTTTAGGGATAAATTGGACTCCAAGAATTTCAAATGCAACGACATTGCATTCATGTTGCATTTAAGAGGGGTGTTAAGTATAATAGGCAGGGGCATTAGAGTAATCTCCTAGTCTAGTGTTTGCCTCTTGTGTCTCTATGAACTCTCTCTATATATAGCTCCTTTGGGCCTCAATAGTATAATTCAATTCAGTCTCCCTTATTCCTAACACTGAAAACGCTTGAACTCTTTCCTTTGACGGGTCATTGCCTCCTCAGAGATGCACAAATTAAGAGTAGACTTCATATTTTTCGTTAAAATAAAGTCTACATCACAATCATCCATGCCTCCACTAAAGCAAATTAAATAGTTGATGATAGGATAGAGAAATTCCTGGGTCACAAAACAGGAATGTTCAAACAAAATATATCCGGTAAAGCTTTAAGCTTTATATGAATTGTTTGTTATAGATAATAAGCACACATTTTTAAATAAGTATAGGAGGCAAAGAAGCATTATAGTACTTGGAAAGAATAATTATTTTTGACAAGATAGCTGCACTCATAACGCAAGATGACCGTTGAGAAGCACGGGATAGAACATGCAATGTACAGTAAGCGCAAATACCATACAAAATTACTAGAGCATTCAATTAGTTAATGGTTCTGGTTGTAGAGAACACGATTGAGTATTCAGTACAGCGATCACATCAATACACCCAAAGCGACAGCTGAACATCCTTCCCAACACATGCAACGATCACATCCAGTACATCTATTACAGACCAAATAATAATCCTACATTTATGCATTCCTTCTGCAAAGTCTCTGAAGATTCTGCAATAACGTCTCAGGCTCAAACCCGAGGCACCTCCTCAAATATCACCTCTCGAACATGCTTCAACTCTTCGTTCCGACAAGCCAATGCCTCCTCCGTCCTATCGGTGGACTCCTCCATCTTGTTGAGTATATAGTGATAAGTGCTCTGAGAATCACCAGTTACTCATTTCTATGTCCAGGAATTCCCTGAGCAGATACTTTACCTCCCTTAGCTCTGTAACGGCAACTCTCACTACTTTCAGCACCTCCCATCCCAGCTCATAAAACATAAGCATGAAATTCTGGTCAGCTACATCTAGAACGTCAGCAGATCGGTCAGCTTATTACTTCTTAACACCAAAAAAGAGGATAACAGTATCAAACTCCACAAGTGACAACAAGTACACAAACTTGAAAACAAACAATCCAAATGCAAACAGAAAGTACCTCCCCACAACACTGATGAACTTGTCAGAGATAAAGCCCCATAGATCCAACGCCAATCAAAATTGCAACGCCACAGATGTCGAGTACAATAGTTTTCAAGCTAAAAAAGTGAAACTATAAATTAATAAAGCAATTAAGTGTCTATATAAACACTAATCTAGGTAGAGAAAACAATTCCCTCTGTATGCCAAATGATAAAGCTCGGGCAAAGCAGAACACAGATAACGGTACATCCACCACGAGATGTCACTGATTGTAGCCTTAGTGAGCTTAAATGCTTCACGATCAACAACTCTCCTCTTCTGAAAACATTAATAGCTCAACATGTAATGAATTCGTTATTAGTAGATAGGTTCTCAACGCATTAGAGAACGACCAGGGCATCCTTAAGCTACCAATATTTGGCTTGTGGGCCTTTTCTAATTCATATTAGGTGCCATCAACATGCCAATATAAGATTTATTTCATGCCCATTGTATCATGTCAGATTTGATCAAGCTAGCGGCCTTGCACTACCCAATACTAAGATGTTGATGATCCAACCTATACAGTATTTTCCTTTATGCCAAGCCTAAATTGCATAGCTGTAAAGAGAGCAACTTCGACAACATAAGAAGTAGACAACAATATATTGTTTGAGTATTAAAAACATAGTAGGATCATTTATCCCAAGCTTATATAAGAAGAAATTTTACTAGATATACATACATATACACTGCAAATATGTATGTCCGATCTTCCAGTAATTACCTGAGAATGTTCGAGTTTTTTGGATGCATGAGATGAACAAGTTTGCTTCACTCCAACAGAATCCACAAATTTAATGCTGACTTGTGATTGATGATACTTGATGGCATTTCATTTGTTTACTGGCCAGCAGCAGCACTGGAGCATGGGAAAGTGTTGAGGCACCTTGCAGCCTGCATTATTCAGGGAAGACAATTGATCTCTATATTCAGTAATGAAGAATTGTTGAGAGAAGACAAGGTATGCAGTTGCTTACACGACCATGAAGCCCACGGCTACTGCTGGGAAGCACTGTGCTAGGACGGATTGTAGCTCCATGGAAGACATTGCTGAGGGTTCTTATGCCATCTTCCTAGCAAGGGCAAGACCGCAAGATATATAAATGATGATAACATGGGTTGTTTGATCTCAGAATCTATAACAATTCTATTGCTTTCTTAAAAGCACAGGGGATCTCCTTCATAATAAAAAACAAAAACACGGGTTATTCTCATTAAGGAACAAAAAAGTAGAAATTTTAGCAATTTTTGAGTGGACAGGACAAATCTCAGAAATAGATTATAGCTAGTGAACACTTGCATCCTATTTTAGGCAGTTGGGATGGATCAGGTGTCACTTGCAACAGATGTTTCATTCCAATAATATATAGATTGAAGAGCACTAATGTAATCTTGCCACACCAGCAACCGAAATCGTGCAAAATGAGATTAAAAATTGAAGAAAGTGAAGCAACAAGCATACTTCTTCATATAGATTGCAAAGATAATAGTCAAGTTTGAGATATAAGCTCAAACCGAGACTTAAAAACAGGTTGAAGCTTGCCTTTCTGACAACAATTTACGCACCCCTCTGTGGTCACAACCCTTGCACGTGTTGTCAACACTCAACATTCAACACTACCATATTAAAGCATACATAAGTCCACAGAAATTTGAGCGGCAACTTACATAGACACTTATGATCTTACGGTTGCTGGAAACCACCATGCCTGGATGAACAACAGCACCTCGGAGAAGATCACTGAGGGTTCCAATGCCACCACCTGCCTGAGAGAGGCGTGACAAGAACTTCAATGATGCCCTTTTTTCTCACAGACTTCATCAACTCACATGTCAAAAGAGGCTTTAGTAACGGAATTTCGTAATGAAGAATTGATTTGAGAGGATAAGAAAAGCCAGCTGCTTACACGGCCTTGAAGCCCACGGCTACTGCTGGGAAGCGCCGTGCCAGGATGGATTGCAGCTCCATGTAGAGGTGGGACGGTCCTCTTGTGCTTCGTGCCGCTTCGAGTCGTGCCGAGGCACGTTGGGCCATGACGATATGGCACGGTGAAACATTTCTTCGGCCCAA